GCCAAATCACCAACTAAAATAAACAAGAAGAGCAGAGAGAGTGTTTAAAAGCTACACAGACTAGAATAGTTTCCATTTCAGATATCAGGAATTCAGATAAAGAACAGTTACAGTTAATCCTTTTCCCCTCATAGGGAACAGATGAAATGAATAAAACTTCAATCTTTGGTTTCCATTCAAGCTGGTACTAGGCAACTGATAAAATTAATAAAATGTTCAGTCTCTGGTTTCTATGCAGAGTGTCAGTTAAATATCCATCTGCCTTCCATTTCTGAAAGACTAATGAAATATTTTATTATAGCATACAGAAGTATTAAATCCATGCCTGTTTCCATATAAAGCTCCTCTTTTAATACAGTTTTTTAGATGAAATTTCCTCATTTTATTCTTCAGTTCAGACTGTTCTGTAAGATTTGATACAACACAGGAGGACCATTTCTCCACTGACCAGAAATAAAAGAGGCTATATTTCATGCTTTCAATAAAACCTAGAACTCACTTCTACAGTAATACCTAAACAATGACTCATTATATTTATTTATTTATTTATTTATTTATTTATTTATTTATTTATTTATTATTTTAGTACCAGAAATCGCACTCGGGACCTTGTGCTTGTGAGACAGGCAGTGGCACCACCGAGCTAAATCCCGGGCTCATTATCTTTAAAACCTACAATGATCAAACTTTCCAGTTTTAAAGAGAGCTGTGCAATTTTTCACATTCATAGAAAGACCAGTCAAGGACCAAAAAAAAAAGGTAATTATACAGGTTTCAAGGACAATGTTTTTTCTCCATAACAATTTAAACAGTTCCTGCTGGAAGAAGTCTGTTGCTCTAGTGCAGAAAACAATTGGAAAGTGAAGATAACAGTGACTATTTTTAAATTTTTTTGACATGAGGTTTTCTTGTGTTGTACAGGCTGACTTTAAACTCTGGGGCTCAAGCAATCTCCTGCCTCTGGCTCTGGCGTAGCTGACTTTAGGTGTGCAACACCATGCCCAAATAATGGTAATTTCTTTTATTGGAGTCACAGAGTACCACTTTACAACCTATGCAGAGCTTCCTGGGAAGGATGTAAAGTTCTAGCTGAAGACAGCTGCCTTCTCTCCATTGCAAACGCAGTCCTCCCTCATGAGGTTCTGCTAATGTGACTTCACAGCTCAGACATTTGTTAGGTCTACCTTTTCTCAATTTAGTTTTTTTTTTCCTTATTGAGTTTATTGGTACATTTTAGGTATACAGTACAGTTACATTCATCATTGGGATCTTGTACCTCTACATGGCAGGTCTTGGTTCTCATTTTTTCCCCTTGTCCCTTCCCTCCCTTCACTCCCCCTCCCCTTCCCCTTTATAAACACTTCATTTCCATTTCTTCATTTTCTCATATTTTTCCAATTTAGTTTTGCTCAGTGGTTGTCATGAACCACTTTTCCATTACCGTGGTCTTCCACAAAGTAAGGTGGACCTAGGCTGTAGAACAAGAACTCAAAACCCCAAGGACATACTCAAGGTTGAAGAATGGAGTTAAATCTTCTTCACAACCTATCTACCAGGCATTTAATACAAATGGTTTAATCACCATTTGAATCTCCTTTTTCATCCTGAAAAGGAGAACCCAATTCTAATTGAAATTCAACTCTAAGCAGGCTTGGTTCTGCCAAGTCCTTTCTCAGCAAAAGAGCCAGGATAGTGTAGTGGTTAAGTTTGATTTAGCAGAGAATCTGAAGCCAATCTGGGCTCAGTATTGTTTGTACTTACTAGCTTTTTAATCTTGTGGTACTTAACATCCTTGATGAGAGACACTGTGAGGATTAAATGCTTGCAGCATGCTTGGCAGACATTACTATAGGAGGGCTTCAGTACGATCAGTACATTATTTTAGATATAACACTTAGATCTAAGACCTCAGACACTAAATGAGGCTTAGTGGATGGAAGTTTGATTAAATCTTCTATTTTCTCATTTATAAAATGAAATCCTTGATGAGACACTGTGAGGATTAAATGCTTGCAGCATGCTTGGCAGACATTACTATAGGAGGGCTTCAGTACGATCAGTACATTATTTTAGATATAACACTTAGATCTAAGACCTCAGACACTAAATGAGGCTTAGAGTATGGAAG